TAGTGTTAGACCCTTTGGACTAATTCGGCTTTTCCTCCAAAAACGTCATACAAATTTCTGCTTTTGTACTTTAATCGTAACTGAGAGAAATTACATATTGCGGCCGTACTTAACCTGATACTTGCTGAAGTGGTAAAGATCTAGATTATCCCCCCTCCCCTTTAGAGGTGGCAGGGGGGATTGAAAGAGGTCTTCCTGAGTAAACCACCATAAAAAGTTCGCGGCGGTCACACCCCCATAAAAAGTTATGGGGTTGCAAAGTTCTGTAATTTTCCAAAGTTCATACACTATAAAGTCTAATAAAATTTAATAGATTACTTATTATTACTAATTATNACAGATGTCTGTATGAAGCTGAACAAATGTAAAAGTTACAGTATTTTGACTTGAACAGGTACCATTATTGCAAAGATTCTGTTTGAGTAACAACAAAAGTTTGTACGAAGACCATAATTAAATAATAAGTTCTAAAATCCATATATATATTGACACAATTGATCGGGGTATAATCTAGACCTTTACCGAACCCACAAAAAAAATTAACCTTTATTTTTTTATATAACTGGCAGGCGCTGGCTATTAGTGTACTACAGTAGTAAAAGACAACACGAACGAAATAATTATAGGTACTATACGTACTACACAATAGAGGGCGATGAACGCAACGATTTCGAAAACTAAATATTTAAATAAACAAAGCAATGGAAATTACCAAAACCAAGTTTGATTTTATTTTTAGAACTATTTCAATGTATACACAAAATAAAGTAGTTAAATATGAACTAATTTCTCTAATTGTAAGTTCTAACACTACATGTAGATGATGAATACTTGATAATAAATTAAACAAAAATATTGTCATATCTTAGCGTCGTTAACTCACAGTGGTTCAGGCGCGTCGTCAAAGTTACATTATCAAACAAGTGTTGATAATGAACGTAGTTAAAAATACATATAATAATAATGGAACGACCACAATTAAATTCGATCACTTGTTTGAATAACCCGCGGTTCAACTAACTAAAACGATGTTCTCTTAACGAAAACAGTTTACAAATTACACTTAAGCAAACACGTTATTATCATTACAAAAAATAAAATGGAAGATAACACAACAAAGCAAACTAATTTAAAGAACATGTCAACAAATAATAGCAACAGATTCTTTTTTATTGAAACCTATTTTTACGATCATCCATCCTTTGTGATAACTTGAGATTATGATCATTACAACATGTAAGCAATTAGTGAATTCTATACAGTAAATAACTTATGGTAAAATAAAACGGTGATTTTACGTTCCTACAATTTAATAGCAATTTGGTAATTATGGTGTTAATGACCGGAAGGACTTTGTAGCCCTCGAAAATTCTGCTGGTTGCGTTCAGGTAGACACAGAAAACAAAAAATAATATCGTAAGTGACAAATTAAGAATTTAATTTATAATAAAGCACCAGGGGTGGCCAACCCAAATGATCTTGCGAGCCACTTTGGAATAATATAGATTCAACGGTTAATTTTTGAATATATGGTTTCACAAATAATGTAATGTATTTTTTTATATATTGCCTTTGGTAAAGGTCTAGATTACCCCCCACCCCCGAAGGGTTGTAGAAAGAGGTCTTCCTGAGTAAACCACCATAAAAAGTTCGCAGCGGGCACACCCCCATAATAAGTTATGGGGTTGCAAAGTTCTGTAATTTTCTAAAGTTCATACACTATAAAGTCTAATTAAATTTAATAGATAGATTATTACTAATAATGCGCCATTTATAATATTGATAATTAGTAAAGAGCCAAAAAAAACCAATTGGTAGTGGTTGAAACCGTATTTGGTGAGTTTTGCGATTCTATTATCTTAAAATCAATTAATACAAATATTTAACTAATTTTTTATATAAATTATTCATTGTTTCTAGGTACTTTTCATTTTCGAATATTCTTTGAAAATTAATATACAAATTACATTTACATACCGACAAGCATATAAAAATCAACAAAATAATAAACCTTTCATGGGGTTAAGACCGCCGCAAAGTTTTTATGGTACAGTGGTGGGGGAGACCTTCTCTTTCAATCCGCATGCCCAGGGGGATAATCTAGACCTTTACCATTGGCTTTCACTACTCTGGCCATTATAATTCTTATGAATTTCATGATCATAGGGTGGTCAGTCCTAAGAATGGACTTTCACTCTTGCCTATCCTGAGCTAGCAAATTTTTAACTATTTGGGAGCAGTAATCTAATCTAGATCTACCCTTAATCTTCTTAACTTCTATTTCTGTTTCTAACATGCCTTTAACTAGACCCTCATGGATGACAATGGGAACCTATCTCGCCTATTTTTATGGACTTCCTCGGCACCCCCTGTTCTTCTACTCTTTCTAGTACTTCCTCATTTCTAATTTTCTCTATCCACGGTATCCTCAAAAAATCTATTTAACAGTAATGCTCTAAAAGTTATAACATAAGCTACAGAATAATTTCTGCATTTCAAAATCGACATGAAAAACATTACACAAATTACACTCCAGTGAACAAATGTGGATTAAAATATGACAATAGACGCACGTATGGACATGTAAGGACACTATAATTCCACGAAAGATTACAATAAGTTTCGTCTTATAGTGCGAAGGGCTGGTACCTATAAGTAAAAGGTACGAGGAAGTTGAAATATATCTATATATAAATGTAAAAGAACCGAAGAGATGACCGTGTTTATTTGATAAACTCGCTATGACATTTTTCACTACATTGACCATTATAATTATCATCATTATGAATTTCATGATCATAGGGTGATCAGTCCTAAGACTGTATGGACACGCACCTTCACTCTTTCCTATCCTGAGCTAATATGAAAGGTCTACATCTACTCCTTCCTAACTCCTATTTCTGTTTCTAACATGCCTTTAACTAACCCCTCATGGATGACAAGGAGAAGAACCTATCTCGCCTATTTCCTATGGACTTCCTTGGCACCCTCTGTTCTTCTATTCTTTCTGCTACCTCCTCATTTCTAACTTTCTCTATCCATTGAAATTGTCAACGAATTTAAATATCTGGGGTAATAGTTCTCGATGAAAAACAGTATAGAGCGTCATGTGAATGTAAAAGAACCGAAAAGATGACAGTGTTTATTTAATAAGCTCGCTATGACGTCATACGGGATAAAAATTTGTGAAAGGAACAGGGAAGGTAATGCAAGATAACACTAGAGCAGTAGAGAAGGAAATAAAAATCCATCAAACTGAGTGAAATCTGTATTAGAAATGTTTAGTGAGCTAAAAATAATGGAAATGTGTACAATTATATGGAAAAGAAGGAGTGGTGTCAATAATAGATTAAAATAAGACATCAATTTGTAGAAAAAATAAGGAAGTAGTGTGGGCGCCAATATCAAACTCTTTTTACAATAAGATCTATAGGGAAATTATTTAAGGTTAAAATGGTACAGAATAATATATAAAAAGAAAGACAATAAGAAATATGACTTAGTATTAGATATGGTAATCTAGGGAAAGGATATAAGAAAGGATATAGAGATTAAGATTGTAAATTATATAAACATATTGTTTTGTTGTGGAATAGACATTAAAAGATTAAAGTCCAATAAATGATGTAACAAACTTTATGGTAGATAGAGGACATAAGTTAAAAAATGACATGTGAGGGTTGATAGTAGAGACATTAAAGGTGAAGTATGTGGAGAAATTTGCAAATAATTGATGTAACAATAACTGAAGATAAAACTAAGGAGAATTAATGTTACTTTCTATAGTAAGTTAGGTTAGACGGTAATAGTCTAGGTAAGTACTGTTGGCAGCGACATCTATAGGCCATCAAGTTAGAAGTTGGGATTGCATGTGTGTTCACTTAAGTATATTAAAGTTGTCACGGGAGAACCACTTTACAATCATAATCCGATATAATTTAAAATAATTATGAATCCATATTTATTCCGTACAACATATGAAGATGATAATGAGGATGTTCATCCTTTATTTTTATTATTTTTAAACCTCACGGCTAATTTTTCAACATTATTTTCATGCGTTTTAATATTGTGATGCACTTTGAAACCGCATGTTATTCTTAAAAAATGCTCATTAAATTAACTTACTAACTAACGCTTCAAGATTGTACCGTCGATTTTTTTAAACCATTTTCCAATCACTTATCATTTTTATCAACATCGATTAGATTAAATATTTCTAAAAGTATTTGTAATTTCACGACGTAGAATTCCTTGTAAAGTATATATATAAATCGTTAAAAATATTTTCCTTTTAATTTTATTTCTTCTTTTAATCTTTTTCTAAACTATCATCTGCCTCCACTATTTTTTTCATATCTCATAACATATTTAATGATTACTTGATGCTGAACATTGAATCTTCTTTTTTAACTCTTAAATCTGGGTAATTAAAATAAATGAGGCTTTTGATTCAAAGATTCTTTTTCTGTATTTCATTAACTGATTTTCCAATCGTTTATTTTATATCAAGGATTGGTTTTATCGACTACTTTTACAGATGTCTGCATGAAGCTGAACAAATGTAAAAGTTACAGTATTTTGACTTGAACAGGTACCATTATTGCAAAGATTCTGTTTGAGTAACAACAAAAGTTTGTACGAAGACCATAATTAAATAATAAGTTCTAAAATCCATATATATATTGACACAATTGATCATTAAGACAAGTATGAGCAATCCCATGTTTTAAAACTATAGCCAAGAAGGGCTCGCGGGGAGGCAAGTTACTTACCCAATGTACTGTACATTAATGCAGAAAAATATTTTCAATTTTAATTAATTGAAAATTATAGGTAGGAAGTGTCAACTATGATAAATATGAGTTTAGTTAACGAATATAAATAAATAAATAAATACTATTTACTCCTTCGTTGTAGCGATTGACGAATGCGAATCGAAAAACACGTAAAAAATTCATCAAATGCCAGACAAAATGTCAAACGTCATAGGCACTTACCTTTTCATGAGAAGTGCAGTTAAGTGAGTCTTAAAATTTTCTATTTGATTCCTAGGAAAAGTTTCGCTTTTTTCTATGAAGCGGATAAGAAACATAACAGCAGCCAAGACTTCTTCTTTCATTTTGTTGCAAATTTTAACATCAGGATGAGAAAGAACCCTTGTAAACCAAACTGACAAGAATTATCTGTAAAACAAAAGAGAATTTTGTTTCATTCCACACTAATCAAAGGCATCTGCATTAGTTTCACTATAAACAATTACGTGTTATTCGCTACATTTTCGAAAAAAATTCTTGAAAAAAAAAATAAATGAACTGTTTTACTTTCAATACGAACTATTTAGTACCAGAAAACATGTATGCACTACGCCCGAACTAGTACTTTAATAGATTTTTGTCAATTCATATTGCCAACATGACAATACTTTTAAATCAAAACAAAAACAATAAACATGCTAGGTACTCTAACCTAAAAACAGTATCTAACGAAATAGATATTGGATACATGTGTTGGTATAAGGTGTTTATTGGTTTATACCAAGTTTATACTTATTCCTAAAAACATGCCTACACTTTTATTGTTACAGTGGATTATGTTGAGTGTTTACTCGTAGAATTATCAACTGAATTTTACCTATCTACCAACAATTTTATTCTGAAAATAATTGTTACGGAAAATAAAATTTGTAACTTTAACTTATCTGTCGTACTTTTTTTTGTAGTACTACAAATTATCTCAAACGATCTACATTCTTTTAATCTAACTTGTTAAGAAAGTTCGAGAGATACAATGTTAAAAGAAATTAAGAGTAGCATAAAAAATTGTAAATAACTAGGTACCTACTTGTAGGAGACATATTCACAAAATTTGATTTGGTTAGGCCGTGATTTTTGACGATTTTAAAAATGGTAAAACTTTACTATACATCTAAATGTATGCGGAAAATATAATTTGTAACTTTATCTTATCTGCCGTACTTCTATTTGTAGTACTACAAATTATCTCAAACGATCTACATTCTTTTAATCTAACTTGTTAAGAAAGTTCGAGAGATACAATGTTAAAAGAAATTAAGAGTAGCATAAAAAATTGTAAATAACTAGGTACCTACTTGTAGGAGACATATTCACAAAATTTGATTTGGTTAGGCCGTGATTTTTGACGATTTTAAAAATGGTAAAACTTTTTTATATTAAATTTAATTTTTAATATTTACCATCTGATTTGTTTCATTGCTAATGTTTAACAGCTTCATCAAAACAAATTTAGCAGATTTGTGTCGTATAATTAATTATGACAATTTATTGTGAAACGTTAACTTCTTTAACAGTGTAACTTCCGAACCTCATTAACAAGATATACTTACGAAAGGAACAGGGACCGATAAGGGTATAAAAGTCCCCGCTCCGATCGTTTTTATTTTTAATTAACTACTCATATTAATAAATATACAATAAGTATGAAATGTAATTTACTCAATTTCGGAATAGACATTGACATGACAGCGCAGTACACAGGTAATTAGAGGTTAGGTGAAAATCAAGGATGTTATATGGAACTCCATAACCGTAACCTAAAATTTCAAAATAAAAATCTATACCAAACCGCAAATCTAAATTAGAGGGGCAATTAATAGTCGAATCATTACTTAATTATATTTTTCTTTTACGGTTCCTTAAAAATCAAATATCTGTAACTGAATGTATCCGAAACTATAGGATATCCAAAATAATTTCCTATTATTTTACTATACTAATATTATTTACATATCCGGAAAAGAAAAGGTTAGAAGCTTTCGAAATGTAGTGTTATAGGCGAATGATGAGAATATCGTGGGTAGAAAAGGTTAGAAATGAAGAGGTATTAGAAAGAATAGGACTCTATGGAAGTCAATAAAAAATAGGCGAGATAGGCTAGTAGGACACCTTTTCAGGTATAAAGGTCTAGTCAGAGACATAGTAGAGGCAGAAACAGGAGTTAGGAGGGGTAGAGGCAGACCTAGATTAGATTACTGTTCGCAAATAGTTAAGGATGTGGGTTGTTCCAGTTTTAGGGAAATGCGAAGATTAGCTCAGGATAGGAAAGAGTGGAGGTACGTGTCCAACCAGTCTTAAAACTGGCGACCTTACGCTCATGATGATGATGATGATCCGTATACATATCCAAGTCAGAAATTTCATATCCATAACATCCCTGCTGAAAATTGTAATCTGTATTTTTTCAATTGCGTACCCGGGCCTTTAATCTGCGCGTTTATACGGTAGTTTTCGTGATAATAACCTTACTAATTAAGCAGTTATTACTGAAAAAGTAAATACGTTTTTAATTGTGTAAAACGCAATTTACTTTTAACAACAACAACAACAATTAATGAATTTTAAATTATAAGTGCTTTTTGATTTCTCAACAGAACTCTTAATGGGTATGTTTATAGTACCTACCTACCTACAAATTAATCAGTTAAAAACCAGATAAGTACTAACAATAAGTACTATTTATTATCTGTCTTCAATGTTATTACGGTAATTAAACGTTACCTTATTTAGATATGGATGTCATTAAAAATGTACCATTCGAAGTATTTCTTCAGATTACAGAAGACTGTTGATTTAAAAATTTTATCTATTGATTTACAGGCAGGTTAAGTTGCTGTTCATACCTGTCTATATAAATCATTTTTTCAGAACGACAGGCAGACAGACGGATGGGCGGACCGACAGACACAGACAGACAGACGGACAGACAGACAGGCAGGCGGATTCATTCAGACAGACAGACACATATAGACACATTCAGACAGACAGACAAATACATACAAATAGACAAATACATATAAATAGACAAATACATACAAATAGACAGACACATAGACACATTCAGACAGACAGACAGACAGAAAGATATACTTCGTTTACTTTCTCTAGCGATTTGCCCCTTCCAATGTTTTGGATGCGCGCTGGATAAATCGTAGTTAGGGAGATATTCCTTTGAGGTTTCATGAGATAAAAAGATAAAAACAAACTTGTAATACTCATACTTCCTTTCAATAATAATGTAAAAACACTAGTGACTTCCAACGGTAATGATTTTTTTCAAAATCTTGTATTCCATTTTGGATCCAAAATATACAGAACATAACATAGGATATATATTAACAAAACATTATCTACATAGAATATGTACCTATTTGCTATCTACATTAATAACAATTTCAATTTAAATTTTTTTATCATAATAAATAATTGACCCTTACTTTAAAATAACATTCGTCTAATAATACTGTGCCACTTTAAAAACACTAATATGAAAGGAATTATCTGACGTGAATCTAGTCACGTTCTTCGGTAATGTTTTTCTACATTACTTATTAAACGATTGGAAAACTAATTTTAAAGCAAGATAGTACCATAATACAAGCAGTATATCTGAATATTTAATTTATCAACGGTTAAATGACATTTAATCCTATTTTTTTTTATATAAACTACTGTTTACATTTTTCTTTAAAACTTTGTTTTTGTCTTAAAAAATATTCATCTTAACGTCAGTATAATTTAAACATAATGAATGATAGGGCTTGGCAACAATTTAGAAACTATGAATTGTTTATGAATACAAGCGATTTATAGACAGTAGGTATTGTACTATTTGTCAAAGTAAGAAAAAGGAAAAAAAATGGCATTGGATAAATAACTAAAATATACCTCAAGACTTGCATTTTGCGATCGTAACTGTTTTTAATTTTTTATAAACTTACAACTCTATTTTGTTATTCTCTAAAAACAGTTTTTATTTACTTTTAGTTTGTTTGTAAAAAACAGTAGCCTAATCGTAATTGATTTTGGAAATTATTTTGAAGGAAGGAAAATAAAATAATACTTAATTATAAGGAATAACTAACAAATTATGAGTCTCCGAAAATAAGTGACTTTAGTTCTAAGTATTTTATTACAATATTTTTTAATCGTAATATTGTAATTATACTTTTAGGAAGCTGATTTTGGAGGAAAATTTAAACATACTTGGAAAAGCGGAAAATTTTTGAGACTCGATTCTCGTGATGAACTATTTACACACCTATGTATTTTATACAAAAAACCATTGGTGCGCGAATCCGACTTGCATTTGTTTTTTTTTTATGTATCCTGCTGCTTTTATAAAGAAAATTATTTTTAACTTCCCATTAGGAAGTTATTGTAATTGGGTCGAAAAGTGAAATCGGAATTTTCATTATATTTCCACGTTTTAACATATTAGTAGCATGCTAGCCAATTTTTTTGATGATGTGTGTATGTACGTACGTACGTACGTACGTACGTACGTACGTACGTATGTACGTACGTTCGTATGTCAGCATTTTTTTCGTTTTCGATATCTCAAGAACGGATTGAGATATCGCCCTCAACCAAAATTTTTTCGAAAGATATTATCATAATGAAGATCTGAAAGAAATTTGAACGAAATCGGTCAAGCCGTTTTTTTTTTATAAAAAAAAAACGAATTAATTACAAACAATTTAATTAAAATACGTTCTAATCTAATCACAACAATGAAGTTACGGAATCAATAATAACTGTATTATCTAATGGGAAGTTAGTCGTATTAGCACCGACCAAAGCGTGCTCAGACCAATTTTTAAATTTTGATGTTGGTTACATTCGAAGTGTACAAATGATGGTAAGTTTTCATCTGAAATTCGGAAGACCCTGCGGGACGCTAATAGGATTGAAACAGTAAAATATTTTGATAAATGAACGTAAAGTTGCTTGTCTTGATACTATAGTTATTGATTACGTAATGATTCGAAGGGACTTGTGCTTCATGATTGCTGATATGATGACATACAATTTTCACACGAAATTATTATTTGTACTTATATTCGGCTCGAAGGACCAATTTTTATCATTTGTTTGCGCTGACCCTGACAGAGGAAGGGATGAAGGTGGTAACCAACTGGCATTCAAATATTATTTGAAATACTTGTTCATAAATATAAGCGTGTCTACTACTACTACTAATAGTTTGAAGAAATTGTTAACATAATTCTTAATATGTTAAGTTAAAATGATATAACCTCGAGATCTCAGTTATATGTATCTATTTGTATATTACTTTGTATAACCCAAATTGATAAGACTTTTTATTTTATTGATATTACCAATCAAAACGGTTTTCTCCGAGTTCC